CTGGTGGTTTTGCAAATGCTTACTTAAATTATTCGAAAAGTACTAAGTGTTATTGGGTGAGCTGAAATCCTGAAATTTGATATTGAGGTCACTCTTGATTTCTAGATTTAGATAGTGTGGTGGTCAAGTTTCATTATACCCTCCACCTTCAAAGGAGGATATATTAACTTTGTCACTCCGTTTGTAACATTCCTAAATTTTCGCCCTAGACCAAATCAGCAAAAAATTCTAAGTCCAATGAACCATTTCCGTCTGTCGGACAGACAGTCTGTCTGTTGAAATCACGAACAAGCTCACATTACTTGACATACAGTTTTAACATTTGGAACAACAATTTGTATTGTGCCTAGGAGATGAAATATATCGGTCCAAGTTTTCGTATAGTCCCCATATAACGTCACCTCCCGATATTCGATATTTGAATGGTTTTCGCGACATTTTGTCCCGAATTCGTCAAAAAACGGTATTTGTAGCTCATAATGGGTTCTAGTTCTGGTAGCAGAACTTTTAAAATCAAGATTCACGTTTCCTATAGTGCACATATAAAGTTACCCACCGATATTCTCTATTTTCATAATCCTAGTCACATTTACCCACGGAATTGATTTAAATTCGGTATTTAAGACTGGCAGTAGATAAGAATGGTTCTAGTTTTGTATGACCCCATATAACGGCTCCACCCAGGTTATGGTTCTTGAAAAGCTTAATCTTACTGCTATTTGTTGTTTAAAGCGGAAACTTTTGAATCCAGATACTTTTATATAAAAATATGTCCTTTACCCAATGGTGGAAGGTATTAAAAGTTCGACCCGGCCTAACTTAATGTGTTTACTCATTGGCCTTATTTTTTAAGGTGTTTTGAAGAATTTCCGAATAATTATAAAGCCCATAAACTTGCATTTTTTAGGAATCATTTTGAGATATTATGTAGAAAGGTGACTTCCCTGAAATATTACATTTACATAATCCGAAGACCTAAGAAACAAACCTCATCAGTCATCAGCAAACTCTAACTACCAATTTCTAAACAAAAAATTTTTCTAATCGCATCATTAAAAAAAAATCCGTTGTTTACACCCCATCACAAGCAATTGCATAAAACATTTGCTCTGTGACATTGCTTCTCATCGTCATCATCGACATCGAAGGAAATTAACTTTGTCCACATCAAGCCATACAAAACAACAAAAAAAAAAAAACGAAAAATCAAACAAACATCTTAACCCAAAATGTAAAAATTTTCCCCCGGCCGCAGGTTTAACAACTTCACTTAACGTTGACAATTTTGCTAATAACCCTTACAAATATTACATAATGATTTCTATTTACAAGAGGCAAATGCTGCAACGACACTAACTTTAACATTGGCGTAGCTCGATTATTTTATGGGGGAGATGATTTTTATTTAAATATTTAACAAACAGAATTATAATCGACTATAAAATTGTGTTAGCTTATCTCTCTCTATCTCTCTGAGAAAAGAGTTGAAAGAGTTGTAGAAAAGAAAATATTAAGACTTTTATATCTCTTTGAGCTTAAAAGTTTACAAAAGTGGAGAAACGCAGACATTACAAGAGAGATATCACAATCAAACAACATATTTAAGAGACAACTCACACTTACCGATACACCAAATTTTTAGTTGAGGGGTTAAATGACTGTATGTGCGTTCTCATTTGGATAGTGATAATAGCCTCCTATCCACCAGACAAGTCTCTGGACTAACTCTTTGCCAAACCACAAGAATTTCGAAATGTAGCCTTCTCAATACTGATGCTCTCATACGCCTATGACCATAATTTCCATTATTACCACTGTCAACATCAAAATTCAATGCAGGAAAAAAATAAATTGAACAAAACAAAAACTAATTATGTTTAAACTTCAACTTGGATAAATATTTAAACAATAAAGACGACAACAAAAAACAAATCTGAGAAATAATTTTCTTATGGGGAAACAAAACAGTTTGAGAAAATCTCAAATACAATAGCGTTAACAATGTATAGGCTATTTAGTAATTATTGAAAACATCAAAATAAGAAATGAAATCAATTACAGATATTTGCAACACCAGAAGCTAAAATACATCAGGAATACGGATTTCTTTTAATTTACAATTTTAGGCCAAAAAATATAAAAAAAATATTTTTAAAAACAGTTTTGTTATTTTCAAAATTGTTCAAAATATTTAAAAAATTTCCTTATTGAAAGAAAAGATCAATATAACAAATTAAATAGTATCAGTTGGTTTTCCCGACAGATGTACAGGGTGAGATAAAAAAAAACTGCAACTAAGTCAAAAGCCATATATTTTACATTTTTTTTTAATTTTATTGAATGAAAGCAAAAAATGTCGGAAATAGCATCAAATTTTAAAAAAAAGTTTAGATTTGTTCGAATTCGTCACCTTTGGTACAAATTATGGCCTTAAAACGGGCAATGAAACCAACACACTCTGCCCGAATGTTGCTCTACGGTATTTTCCCGGCGAAGCGCTGTCTTGAGGTGATCGACACTTTGGTATTTTTTAGAGCCAACCTTGCTTTCCAAAATACTCCAGACACAATAGTCTAACGGATTGGTATCCGGAGATTTTGTGCGATGGAAATGAAACGAGGAACCTCATTTTGTAACCATTCTTGGGTGGCGCGTGCTGGAGGTGCTGAGTCCTGTTGGAATGTCCAAGGTCTGCGGCCAAAATGTTTGCGTGTCCAAGGCTTTTATACATCCTCCAGAATATTTTCGCGATAATATTCGGCATTTAGTCTGATGCCACGGTCGATTAATGCGATCTGAGCGGAGAGCGACCATCTGCTTTTATGGCGGCCCACACCATCACCATGGCCAGCGTTCTTGTGGCCAACCGAAGGTGTACATTTTCAGCTGATCTCTTTGGAAAGTAAACACGATCATTTAGTTTCTTTACAAACTTCTGGACAACGAATGTTTTGTCATTGGAGAGGAGAAAACCAAATTCGTCAGTTCACCACTATCGGCCAAAAGAAGCAACTCTTTAGCTCTTTTGCATTTTTTTTTTCTTTCCTTTGCAGTTCTTGCACTTTTTGGAATTTCAATGGCTTTACGCCGAGCTCATTTTTCAATATTTGCCGAATGGAATATTGCGATATGTTCAGATCACCAGCCATTTTCGGGCAACGGCGACGCGGGTTTCGATCAAGTTGCTTCTTTGCTTTTCAAAACATTTCTACTGATCACCTCAAGCAAGCACCAGAATATCGCAGTGCAACATTCGGACAGCGTGTGACAGTTTCATTGGCCGTTTGAAGACCATAATTCGTGTCAAAGGTGACTTATTCGAATAAATCTAAATTTATTCTAAAATTTGATGCTATTTCCGGCATTTTTGCTTTTATTGAATAAAATTTAAAAAAAATATGTAAAACTTATGGCGTTTGACTTTGTTGCAGTTTTTTATCTTGCCCTGTATGTGTCTTAAGTCTTTCGTTTAGTTTGGATTATATTCTCTGAATTTCTCCAAAGACAATCAATGGTTTTCTCACAAGAGTACACATGTCTCATGAATTTGATCTCCGTCCTCTTTATTTTTTCGAGTTCGTTTCTTAAGTCTTTAACTGTTCCATTTAAATATTTTCTCAAAATAGGTACAAAAACACAGAGATGAGATTTCTTCCTAGGTCTGTAGCACATTTCTCGATTATAAAAATTCATCGAATGTCAATAACTAATAATTTAAAAAAAAAATCACCGGTTATAGCCTCAATAATAAAGAAAATATTATTAAAAATATATATCTAGCTTTCAAATTTAATATTATAAATAGTATTTGTAAGCAATATTTTATAACACAAATAATATTAAAAAATCTTACAATTAGAGTCTCAAGATTACAGAACATTCCTTAATAAAATCCTCAAAAATATATGAATATTTCCTCAAAGTCCATAAAATAATAATTTTCTAAAAATGTACGATTAATGATCAACAAATTTTAGAATTTTTTAAGAAAAAAAGATTCTCTCCCTTAATATTTTTAATTTATATAATTAATCCATTATTATAAAAATATGATTTGGGCCATCTTGTGTTGGGAAAATAGTATTTAACATTTTTCGAAAAAAAAAATTAAAAATCTCTCAAAAGCTTTTAAGTTGTAATTTAAAAAGCTAATAATTCAAAATATTTCCTTCAATATATTTTCTCTTCTTAAAAAATCCTTTAAAATTTCGTAAATCAACAAATTTACTTTTTCGAATGAAAATGTATACAGTTTAAGAATGCGTGTTTGGCTGATGATTCTAAATAAAAAAATTAAAATTTTAATTTAAAAAATTTAATTTTAAAATTTATACTTCAAAAATTTTTAAATTATTTGTTTAATAAAAAAATATATTAAAATTACACAACCAATGTCAATAGCAAAAAAAAAAAACGTTTCTGAACATCAAATGAATAATAATAATAATTTTTGTAAACCAAGCCAAGCATTGGCATGTAACCTACCTACTTGGCAAGCCATCTACCTGACCAAGTGCCATCAGCCAGCCAGCCAATCAACCAACCAACCAACAAGGTGACAAATATTTTCTTCTTCCGAAAAGCCAAATGAAAAATATTTTTGTTTAAAGAAATCTTATTGACCATAATATCACGTAAGCCTAAAGGCATTGATTGATCCCAAATACAGGCAGTCGACAATGAAGGCAAAGGCAATTCCAAAAAAAAAAAGAAGAAATACAAATTTAAATACAAATCACTCAATTTTGTGTGATTTTGGGGAAAAAGAGTAAAGCCAGAAAACACACACAAACAAACGGTCAGCCACCCAGCCAAAGAGTCACTCATTTCTTTGGGACTCCCAGAAAAGGCAAATACGAAGCAGGCAAGCAACCAACCATCGCAAACCAACACACACAAACCAAAACACACACAGAAACTACTCAAATTCCAAGCATGTTTACACAGCTCAACATTGACTTTGAGCTTTTCACGTATATAAAGTGGGGAGGCATAAAAACTTTTGTGTCATTTCATAAATTACGGTCGTAACGTCAAGAATCTGAAGAAGACATAGCACAGGTGTCTTTTTTTGAAATCGAACGCGTTCGTGGTGAATTCAAAGCAAACAGAGTATAAATACGAAAACGAAAGTGTTGTGTTTTTTCACAAATTAAATTAACAAATAAATAAAAAAAATAACAAAATGAAAGCCTTTGTAGTGGCCGGTATCTGCTTGTTCAGTGTTTTAAGTGTCGGTTTGGCCCAGTTCTCAAACGGACGCGTCTTGGATCCACCCAATCCCCAGTTGTGTGCCCAACGTGTTATTCATGAAAAGACACCCGATGGCAAAGGGTGAGTTGATGATATATATTTCATAAAAATTAAAAAAGGAACACTGAAAATTTTTCAAAAAAAAAAAAACAAAAAAAATTAAAGAGAGAAGAAAGTGTGATTTCTGGTTATTAAAAGGATGAGACAATATTTCCCAAAATTAAAAAAAAAAACTTAAAATGTTCACTTGTGATCCTGAAGTGAATGAATCTGAAAATAATATAAAAAATGCATTTAAATAAATATAAAAAAATGCCTTGTACAATATTTCACAATAAAAAATAATTTTGAACAAATGCAGTGAAAAACAGGAGTCTAAGGGAAATGCGAGACCTATTTTTAAAATAAAAGAATTTGAAACAAATATATTGAAACTTAAAAGTCTACGGGGAATTTAAGAACAAGTTGAGACCAAAATCGTAATAAATTGTACCGAATTTTTAACAGTCCTTCAGAAAAGTATTTCTAAAACCCATTTTTATGTACCAGTTCTTAGAAAGTTTAATAAACAAAAATCCACAATAATTTAAATAATAGTTTGGGAAATGTTGTTACAAAACTGTAGTTTATTGCTTAGATAGTGCATCCAAAATTTGGTTAAAAACTAAATCTTTTAACAACGTATATTGCTCTGACAGTCCTTATAGTTGTTCCTTTAATTAGAAAAAAAACAACAGCAAAATAAAACACTTGGAATTAAAAATCAGATATATCTTTAAAAATGATCTAAAAATGTCCCACTTTTGACATATTCTCAAGAAATCCACGATTGCCACTTTGACAATCATTCGGAAAATGTTCCTAAAAAAATCATTAAAATATTATGTAGCTCTAACAGACCCTTCCGTTAAAACTATCTTTTATTACTCACATATTTCTTTAGAAAAATATTTCTAAAATACAAATTAAACCAAATAATTTTAGAAATTCGACTAGAAAAATTTTGTAAAATTATCAATTCAAGTTGCGACATTTTTTAAAATTTTTTTTTTAAAAAAATCTCTTTTATAGCTCAAAAACAATAATTCTTAAATTTTGTGACTTAGGAGTTTTCTTTTAAGTTCCAAATTTTAAAATGAATATAAAAATCTACTTTTATACGAAAGAAACATGTGCCTTAAGTCTTTTAGTTTGAATTCATAAGGTTCTGTAGTGAGACTTCCATTAAGTATGTGTCTTAAGTCTTTTGTTTGAGTTTGCATTACTCATTATTTGCTCTCTGAGAATGTATCATTCATTTTTGATCCATTAGTTTCTTTGTTGAGGTTTCGGTCAAGTATGGGTCTTAAGTCTTTCGTTAGTGTTTGTATTACTCTCTCCTATTTTCTCCAAAAAAAAATCTGTGAGGTTCTCACACAATTGGTAAAAAAGCCATGCCATTAATGGAATTCTGGAATTCGAGGAAAATTCTTTAAAATAAAAAATGCACAATTTTTTAAAATATCGTATATAGGACAGAAGGGTTGTAGATAATATGACAAATAAATATACCTCTTAACATATTTTCGTCCTTCTTTTTTTTCTTTATGTGATCGAACTTCCGTCTCACCCTTCAAAATGGCCTTTAAAAAATATAATAAAATAATAAAGAGACTTTTTTAATTTATAAAAAAGAGTGAGATAATACTCACTGAAATATATAAAGAAACCGTTTTCAATTTCTGTAATATTCAAAAAAGCAGTAATTTTTCAAAAAAAAAGTCCAACTATTTTTTTTGTATTTATTTATTATTTATTTTTTTTTTCAAAAGATTATACAAAATGTTAAAAATGATTTCTAAGTAGAAATTATGGTTCTTTCTTTCATTGGTCTCTTGAGCAAAGAGAAAAACTTCCACTCTCCATTATGTTTCTCAATTGATGTTTGAATGAACTTTTTGAAGAGAATTTTAACTCCAAATAACTGAATTTTAACTGTATAACTGTTTCTTGTTTTATCAGTCTCTGTTAGCAAAGAGAAAATAAGCATAATTATTCTCCACTGATAGATGCAGCACAAGGCTCAGTTTTGTGTTTGTTGTTTAAATCTTTTGTTGAATTTTAAGTTCTCTCCAAAAAAATGTGTGTCTCTTTTCTCTCGGTGATAATTTTTATTCTGAGAAAGAGAATATTACGTATAATTTATTTAAGAGAGAAAACCGCAAAAAAATTATTCTTGGAGCCTTTCTAACCACTATTGTTCTCAAAATAAAATTAATAAAAGTACAGAAACGTTAACGTATTTTAATGCAGCTAAAAACCAAATGAAAAACTTGCAAATCTATGGAAAATTTGGCGTTTGTTCTACACACAAATGCAACAATTCTCAATTTCATGTTTGTCTCGCAAATCTTACTTTTTTAGAAATTTGATACCTTTTCCTCTCTATAAACACATTCTTTTTTAATTAAAAAAAAAATTAAAAATATTTTTTCAATAAAATTTTATTTTGAATATTTTTATCAATATTTATTTATTTATTTACTTTTTTTTTTCATTATTCCAGTTATTTCTTCTCGTGGCGTGACCCAGCTTTGAAGGGTGTCGAAGAAGATTGGTTGAGTGCCAGAAACTACTGCCGCAGACGTTGCATGGACTCTGTATCCCTGGAAACTAGCTTGGAAAATGAATGGATCAAACAACGTGTTGTCAATGAAAATGTAAGTTTTGAAATTAAGCTAATCTTTCTGGGAAATTCATGATGACCAAAAATAACGGGTTTTGAAAAGTAAAAAAAATAAAATGGAAAAAAATTATTTTTTTACAATTAATCAGGGTTTGTTTTGTAGAGATATTGGAATAAATTTCTTTCAAATTTTCTTCAATTTGTTTGCTCCATGGACGATAAATTGGTGATAATCAGTCCATGTTCCGGATATAGCTTCCTATATTCATCAACCAATTATTATACCCTCCACTATTCTATGGAGGGTATATTGGATTTGTCATTCCGTTTATAACTCTTCGAAGTGTTCATGATAGACACCACAAAGTATATATATTCTGGATCGGCATAAAATTCTAATACGATTTAGCCACGCTATCTTTCGAACTAAATGAGATAGAAGGCTAAAATTTTGCACACATGTGTATTTTGCCAGTAGGCAGATTAAGTTCGTAAATGGGATATGTCGGTCTACGTTTTCGTATAGCCCCCATATAACGGTACCTCCTGATATTCTGTATTTTGATGATTTTAGCGACATCATTCACCCGAAATGATTCAAATTTCGTATTCGAAGTTTGTAATGGCTACTACAGCCTATGCCAAAAAATTTCGTATGCAGTTCCACGTCTTCGTATAGCTCCCATATAACTGTACCTCCCTTTATTCGGTATTTTCATGATTTTAGCGACATTATTCGTCGGTATCTTTTCAAATTTCGTATTTGAAGATCCTAATTGGGTACTACCGCTTATAACAAAAAATTACTTATGCAGGTACACGTCTTCGTATAGCCCCCGAATATTTTTTGAAATTTTTCAAGATCCTTCCAATCCTTCCTACCCTTTTGTATAAAAAACATATTTCAGATATGAAGTAACTTTTTGACTGATTTTCCTCTCCTTTTATTGAATCGAAATTTTCTTCTTCAGTATTTTTCACTCAGAATAAATTAATTTTAAATTTTCAAGTTTGTGTCTTAAGTCTTTTATTTTCAATTGATAGCTAATTAGCTCTTTCGTCAGTAGATGGGCAAGTATGCACGCTAACGGTTGTGTCGCTTATTCTCTTCATAAGTAAACTATCATTGATGGGAAAATAAGGATAAATTTAAAGAATTTTTTCTACAAATAAATTTTTTAACCTATTTTGATTATGCTTGTGTTTGAAAAATAGTAAACTAACAAAATTTCGACAGAAGAAATCAATTTCTAAATTCTCTTAAAAATCTCTCTTCCATTATTTTGCCCATTTATGCTCTTTGGTCAGTAAATAAAATCGTCTCCCTCATTAAATTGTCTCTCAATCATAGATGGGCAAAATAATGAAGAGAAAATCTTAAGAGAATTTAAAAATAGCTTTTTTGTATTGATATTTTGCTGGTTTAATATTTGTCAAACACAAACATAATCGAGAAAGGTATCAAAAATTAATTTATAAAAACAAATCTTCAAAATATTGCTAATTTTGCGATTATTGATAGTTTACTCATGAGATAAGAGACAGAAGCGTGCTTACTTGCCCATCTTTGTTCTCAATGTACACAAATTTCGATGAGAAACGAAACTAATAAAACTTTAATTTTTAACAAAAAAAAAAAAAATTAAATAAAATTACATAAAAATTTAAAAAAATAGAGAGTAATTTTTTTATAAAAAAAATTCATTTACCCTGTAATTTTCCATTGGCAGCAAATTTGTTGTTTCTGTGACCTTAATGTTTTTGCCAGTTTAGCCCCTGGCATAAATGCCCTCTCATTACTCTTATTTTTTGCAAACAATTTTTTTATGGGATTCACCTTTTGAATACCAAAAAAAAAAAAAAAAAGAAATAAACCTCAAATTTCAAATAACTTTTATGATATAATCTAATTGTGGTATGAAATTCACGTTCTGTCCTCAAAAATAAAAAAAAAAGTTTCCACAAAAATAAAAAAACATTTATTGAATTGAAAAGTACCATTTAAACGTGCCTCCTCCCAAAAAACAATAACAAAGCATTAATAAAAAAAATAGCCAATGAAATTTTGCACCCCAAAAATCTAATATGCGTAGCACACACAAAGAGACACACACACACTCTAGTTGATTCACTATTTTATACGCATTTCGAACACTTTCGATTTCAATAGAAAACATGTTTTGCGTACAAAATTACCTCTGTTTTTTCGGTCAAATGGACAACAATGAAATAGTCTTAATGATGTTGATGCCGACAATAGAGTCGATAAAGCTGACGACGATGATGATGAGGATGATAATAATAGCAACAGCAGCAGCCTCGCAGCCACCAGCCATTAGTAAGCTCTACAGTAGCAAACTGTAATAAATGCGGCATTACAAAATAATGGTTAACTGAGGTTGCTTTGTTTTTTCTTTTTGTTGTTGCTTTGGATTTTTTTGCAAAGAAAAAAAGACGTCTTACCTATAAACTCTTTCTTCATGAAGAAGAAACAAATTAAAAACGAAAAAAAAACCTTACAAACGATGTACAAAATTACTCCATTGCAAAAAAAAGACCGACACAGAAGAAAAAACAAACCGTCGAAGCTAAGTAAAATTATTACATAACGCCATCGTGCTGTACGCCAGCCTGAGCCTGATGATTGTTTACAACTTGTCGATTGCCTGACGCTGGCCGACTGGCTGTCTGGCAATCGATCCGGTATGGTAACGAATCTCCCCCTTAAAAAAAAAAAAAAAAACTAAAAATATTCCCACCTTCTCATTGAACTTTATATTCCACACAGCATCTGTGTGGTTAAAGGTAGATTTTGTCTCCCCCCCAAAAAAGAGTCTTTTCCAAAACTGGATTTACACCGGTTTGTTGTCTCAAAATTTATTGTTCGAAACAAGTTGAAACTGCAATATGCATTAGCCATGACAATGCCAAAGAAGAAGACGACGACCAAGAAAAAAAATTGGTTATCTTAAAAATAGACATGTTACAAAAGTCATTTCCTAGAGGAAATGAAATGATGCTGCACATTTTTTGTTTTTGTATTTTTGGTATTTTTTTATAATGTTGTAAATGTCAAATAGAAAGTTTTATGGGTTATTTATTACCCGGTTTAATGGGTGACATTTTAAGACTTTGTCTTTTAGGTCAATTGGTTGGGTTAGAAGACATGAGAGAGAAATAATCTGATATTCGTCATTGATACTAAAAAGTCGTGCTCAAGGAAATTAAAAAGCTCCTGTCTAACGAATTATATTCCTAATTCTTCCTGTCGTTTTAAGTTTTAGTCTTAATTATGTATGAAACAATTCACGTTGATATTTTAAGTCTTTTATTTTATTTTTTTTTAAGTAAAAAAATTATCGCAGGAAAATTATTTCAAAATTCTTTTAAAAATTTGTCTTTCATTATTTTGCCCATCTATGGTCAATAGATACACTTATGTCTTTGATTAAACATAGCTCTCAATCATAGATGGGCAAAATAATGAAAGAGAAATTCTTAAGAGAATTGAAAAATAGTTTTTTTGTGACGAAATTGTGATAGTTTAATATTTTTCAAAGACAAAGATAATCTAAATAGACAAAATAAAAAACAAACATAATCTAAAATTAATTTAAAGTAACAATTCTTCAAAGTTATGCTTATTTTATTGATAGTTTACTCATGACAGAGAATAAGAGACACAACCGCTATGCTCTTAATGGGCATGAGTGAAATTCTCTTTCTTCCTCCTCTCATTCCTCTTTTTTTTTTTGAGAAATACCAGAGAGTTATCTTCGTCATTTCTATTTTCAAGTTCGTGTCTTAAGTCTTTTCATTCTACCTATCACTCTCCACTTTATTCACCATTTCATTTTTAATTTTTATTTATTTATTTTTATTTTATTTTCATTTAATTTATTTATTTATTTTCATTTTATTTATTTATTTATTTTATTTAGTTTTTTTTTTTTTTTTTGAAAAAACGTCCGAGTTTCCCGGTTATTTTATTATATACATTTACTCTCACAAATATATTCTCTCGCTCTCTTTCTATATTTTGATTTTTATCTGAATTAATATAGCTTTCTTGATTGCATCTTAAGTTCTTCATTTTTAATCTATAATTTCTATGGCTGCCTTAAGTCTCCTACAATCATTTGCCTAGATTTGTTTTTATCTATATTTTTAACCAGAATTCTCTCCCTCCCTCATTCTCTCTTTATCATACCATATTTTCTAACTCTTTACTTTTGCCGTTTTCATTTTTCTTCTTGAGATAATAATGTGAAAGATATAACATTTTTATAGGAGATGCTCGCGTGTTCAACAACGAAAGCAGTAGTAAGTCGAAAATGCATTCGGTCTATTTCCAGACGACGCAAGTGGTGACCAATTCTTTCGAAAGCCTTACGCCTTTATATTTCATTGGTGAAAGACACCTTCTTTAGATAATACTTTCTCACTCCTACTTCTCTTTACTTCTCACTTAATTTATTTGTTTTTCTTTTCGCTATTCCTTTGGAGGGAGTTTTTTCCAGTTTATGTCACTGAAATTCTGTCTAGTTAATCATTTCTTATATTCTCTGTTTCTATTATCTTGTTATTTTCTTAAACAGAGATATCATTTGATAAATCCTCCTCTGTTTTCATTTTCCTTTTCTCATTTATATGTGACTCTCACTCCCCCATTTACTTTGTTTTTCATTTTGCTTAGCAACCTTCTTCTCTTTCCATTAGAGATTACTGTTCATTTCAAGTATGTGTCTTAAGTCTTTCCCTTTAGTTTCATTGTTATTGACACTCTCTGTTTACATTAAACCGAGAGGCTGGCAAAGAGTCCCATTTTTTATGTTCTCCCATTTATATTACTCTCCAATTACATTACTTTTCAATGGTACTTATTGTGTGTGTGGAGAATACTACGTTATTGAAGGATAGCATCTGTTTGGCTCTGCATTAAACGGTAGTGATGAGTGAGTGAGTAACTGATGAGTGTTTAGGAAACCAATGTAAATTACTGCTCTCTCTCGCTCTTTATTTTATGAGACAAATTGAATGCATATTAATGTGTAAATAAAGAGAATTGACTATTTGCATGATTAAAATGCATTTTTATGAGGAAGATTTTAAAAAAATATATTTTCAAAGGCAAAATACCCACATTTTCTTGATATTTATTGTAAATTACCTATCAAACCATTATTGTTTCCCAAATTGCTACTAATTTCCTTGTTGCCAACACATTTATGTCTCTATTGCCTTAAAACGCTACTAATCGGAACATGTTATGTTAAGAGGAAATACAAAAGCCTAGCTAGCCATGCATGCAACCTCTTAATGAAGTCCAATTTCGGGGCCCTCATTAAAATAAAGGAAAATTTTTTATAAATAATTCAAACAAAAAAAATATATATTTATAAAACAAAATATATTGCCCGGTCATGCTTACCATGATGATTGATTACTGTAAAAGGAAAAAAAATGCAACAAAATATTGTTAAATAAAAAAATTATGATTTTTTCAGTCACGCTATATTTCACAAAAAAAATGTGTAAATATGTAAGACCATAATTAAATTAATTTCTAACAAAACTAAAACATCAACGCACACACACAAACACATTTTTGTGTTTACCCACCAGATGTGATATAATCCGTAACACATTTCAAACCCCATGACGAAGTCTTCAAGTTGTCGCCGGCTGCCAATGTCAAATAATAGAAAAAAAATCTGTTGTTGATGAATTATTAATGATGAGCATCATCGGTTTGAATATGTAAATTTCCATATGCATAGATCCATTATTAACAGTTAGATAGCTTGTGCGGTTTTTATGTATTTAATGATATATTAATTGGCCTTGGGACACCTGGGATAGATGGATGGATGGATGGGGAGTTTTAAATCAGGGATGTTGTAAGAAAAATGTCAAAGAAAAATTGGAAGTCATTAGATTTTTAAATAAAAATAAAAAACGTAGAAGGTCGATTTTGTAATGCAGGTGATAGAAGAAAATTTTGAAAAAATTTAAAAAAATATAATTTTTTCTTTGATTTTTTAATTTGATATTTGAAAACTTTTAAAAGTGAACTCTGATAACCCCTTTTGTAGGAATCTTCTCTAATTCAATTTTAAAATATCTAAGTTTTGTCAAGGTTTCAAGGCGAGTCAACACTATTTTTTTTTTGAAGATTAAAAAAACAATTTTTAAGGATCCTTGTAAAAAATCTAATAAAAGGTCGATTTTGTAATGCAGTTGATAGAAGGAAATTTTGAAAAAATTGAAAAAATAAAATTCATTTTTTTTTTTTGATTTTTTAATTTGATATGTGAAAACTTTTAAAGGTGAACCCCTTTTGAAAGAATTTTTTCTAAGTCAATTTTAAAATATCTAAGTTTTGTCAAAGTTTCAAGGCGAGTCAATCCATTTTTTTTTTTTTTTTTTTTTTTGAACATTAAAAAAAATAATTTTTGAGGGATTCTTGTAAAAAATCTAAGAATATAAAAAATGAAATTTCCAAAAAAAAACAATCAATAGCTGGTATTTTGCTTGAAAAATTCTATTAGTTCCATAGTAAAATTGTCCATGCCTTTCCTATCAGACACTCAATAAGCTCTTAAGTAGTTTGTGTGTGGCATGAGAGAATTCTCCGAAGTAAAGCCCATTAAAAAGCTTGAGCCATGACAGCTGCCACGTGCAATGACACAGCCCAAACCTTGTTTTTTTTTTAAGCTCTCACCATTAGCCTTAATTATGTGACACATGCAATGAACTTCACCCAAGGCAAAGGCCATAAAAGGGCACGACGTAAGCTTATTATGAATGTGAATAATGACAATCCACTTCAACATATCCAAACACAAATCATAATATTTTTTTTTTTTTTTTGATATAAAATAGTTTCTATGGTCACTTGTCTGTCAGCTGTAAGAAATTTTTCATTGATTTTCAATGTTGTTGCCTTTTTTACAACAACCTACTTTTTCGGGGGGAGAAAGTAGTGTCGACGTCGTCTGTTAATAATGTAAAATATCATGGAAATAAAATATTATTATAGACCAAGGTTTATTGTTATAACAACAACAACAGCAGCTACAACAAAGAAAGGTGGGGTTTAACGTTAACTGCATTTTAACAAAAAAAAATATCAAAGTTTAAATAAGAAAACAAACAACACCCAAATGACTGAACATTTGGAAAATGTTGGTGTGGTTGTTTGCATGGCAAACAGAAAGTGTTGACAATTTATGGTAGGTTTGTAAGAGCACGATTTTTTTTTTTTTTTTTTTTTTTGTGGCCAACAAAACAATGAGGGCTATTTTATGCTACAGCACCACCATTTGGGTAACAATAGTTTCCGTTTGGGTGTTTTTTTGCTCCAAAACAACAACATCACAAGCACGTAATGTACATCAATAATGAGTTGTGTTTTGTTTTTTGTTGTAATATTTACAGTTTTACCTTATTGTTCATAACTGTAACTAAACCGAAATAGAAATTTTTTGTCTGAAATGTGAAAATAATGCCGGTACCAATTGGTGTCAATGCAGATTTTTTTTTCATCTCTGCATAAATGGCAATGAACTGGGCAAGAAACCTCTTACATCTAAACAATACGGATGTGAATGATCCAAGATCATTTTTATAGAAAAAGACAAAAAATTATATAAAAATGTGTAATGAAACGGTTAATGACTTTACATTACACGCCTCTTTTAAATCGTTTAGTAACTGTTATTACATTTCCTTACACCATTTTAAGGGGGGTGAGATAATTCACCATAATTATATAATAAGACATGAAATTTTGCAGTGAAAAAAAATTAAATTTCATAATTAAAAATTTTCAATTCCAAAAAAAAAAATCATTAAAAAAATTTGAAAGCGTTTTTTTTTTCAAATATTTGTTTTTACAAAATTTAAGTTTTTGTTAATAAAAATATTTAAAATCGTCCCTAATTTAGCTGACATCTGCAGCTTCAGTCTTTATTTTGAATCAAGTTCGCGTCTTAAGTCTTTTGATTCAGTTAATCAATTAATTTTCTCTCACTACTCTCATTGAAATCATAATCGATGTTTGTTTCTTAAGTCTTTTGATTCATTCACTATTGCACACTTCAGGTTTGTGCCTTAAGTCTTTTGATTCAAGTAACTCTCTTGTTTATAATATCTCTTGACAGTTTATCTCTATTTTCCTTTATCCCTCTCTTTTTCTTTTAATCCTATATATTTCTCTCACTTAAATCAAGTAGATGTCTTAAGTCTTTTCTATTTTTCCCGTTTAATTTTAACATGATATACTTTTCTCTCCTCAGTTATTTTAAAATCAGAAGAGTTATCTCTTAGTTAACGGCCTCCTGCCATTTCCCCTTTATTATAATTATCTGCTCTTTCGTCTTTTACTTGAATTACACCGTTATTTTTCTCCCTCTCTATCCCCCTTCTGAGAGAGGCCAGTTTACTGTTATAAAATCCCCACAACGATTAAAATTTTCTTTCAAATAAGACTCTTAAATCTTTCATAGCTGTTTCTCTCTCTCTGTCTCTCTTTAAATGGTTATTTCACAAATATATGCCCTTCAACATTTAAATGTTTATCTCATGTATTTGTTTTAAGTATTCTTTTTGCTCCTTCGATTTGCTACTCAGTGTGGTTTCCCCTCTCCCTCTCTCTCTCTCTCGATTATAAACCGGTACTTTTATTTACTCAAAAAAAAAGAAATAAAACCTAATAAATTCCCCCATTTTCCCCTATTTTCAGGTGAAATACATCTGGACCTCTGGCCGTCTCTGTGACTTCAAGGGCTGTGAACGTCCCGACTTGCAACCCACCAACATCAACGGCTGGTTCTGGACTGCTACTTTGCAAAAATTGGCCCCAACCAGCGAACGCAGCCAAGGTGATTGGTCTCCCAGCGGTGGTATTGGCTTGCCCCAACCCGACAACCGTGAATACAAACAAAACGGTGCTCCCGAAAACTGTTTGGCTCTCTTGAATCAATTCTACAACGATGGTGTTAACTGGCACGATGTGGCTTGTCATCACAAGAAACCATTCGTTTGCGAAGAAAACGATGCCTTGTTGAAGTATGTCCGTTATACCAACCCTCAGTTGCGCATTTAAGGAAATTATGAAGGAGTGTAGGAGTTACTCAGAATAAAAGAACTTTTCTCTCCCTCCCACCCACTTTTAGAAACCAAAAATATTTAAGAAAATGTCGCTGAATTTTTTTATACTCTTCGTTTTTTCTAAATTATTATTTTTTTGTATGACTAAATTTCCTTGAACGTCTTTCTTCAACTTTGTTTCTATTTTGTTGAGCCAATTGCTGTACTCAGTTTTTTCTCCACTATTTCTCTTTCATTTTGTTTAGTTTAATTTTAATTTTTTGTATTAATTTATGTTAAATAAATAAAAAAGAATAAAAAAATAAAAGAAAAAATACTAAAAACTTAAAATAAAACTGTGTTTTATTGTTATTTCTAAAACGGGCGGATCGTGTAGAAAAGGTTTAAAGTAAATCCTGTAAATTTAAACCTTGTAAAATAAAAAAATTGTTGACAGTATGGGGGTTTTCAATCCCAGTGGTAGTTTTTGTTGTAGTTTTACGACTTATATAGTCGGTCTCATGGTAGAAGAATAAAGATAGATGCATCAACGCTTGGGAACATTGATATTCCAACATATTTAAGATGTTTTTTTTTTTTTTTTCAAAAATAAATAAACTTTTAAATGTTTTCGTATACGACGCAAATAGCAAATTGTTGCATTTTTCAACAATTTTCACAAATTTCACCAATTTTTCATCCGACATTTTCAATTCCAAAATCGGTTTGACAGTCAATTGTCCTAGCAGCTGTGTCGATGCGACTACCTGTATTTTTCTATCATGGTCGGTCTTCTGAAAAATAATAGAGTAGACAAACCGTTTGAACATGGTATTAGCTTAGTAAAAACGTAGCTGAGATATGTTTCCATGCAACAACTACAGAAAATTAATTATTAATTAAGATGATATAAAACTACCAAATATAAATGTAAGAACGTCATTTTACATATGACCTCAACATAATGTATAAACTAGCCTTTATACAACGTTAAATTTAATTGAATACCTGTCGCATCAGTATCACTTAACTTGTTATCATTTTACTGTGATCAGTATCACTTAACTTGTTATCATTTTACTGTCATTACAATATATCAGCTGAATTTCATAATGACATAATTTCAGTTTATTTTTAATTTAATCCTATAGTTCTTACTTAAGGGCAGCTTATTTTTTTTCTTTTTTTCTGGTTTATTCTTTACTTCTGCCTAGTTGGATGTAGAAAAAAAGACAGCTTCTTCATTAACAACCCTCCACTTGGTATCATTTTCCTGTGATTGCCGATATGTCAAATGATGTCCCTTCCCCTTTTTATTTTGAGCTCTTAAAAATCATATAAAACCACGAAACAGAAATGTAAGAACGTCATTTTACATTTGATCTCAACAATTAGCCTTATCAGTATCACTTAACACGTTATCATTTCCCAGTGATTACCATACACCAGGTTTCTTTCTGTCTTCCACCCCATTCGTCTGCTATTTTACTTTTGTTTTATACGTAAACAAAGCTTCACCGGGTCATTTTGTTTTGTGTTGTATCTTTATTGGTCATTCATACCTATGTCTCTTGTTCGTGGCACATGGAACGTTTTTTCATTTATTTGGAACATCGAAACATCTTTATCGTCCACTTTTTGAGAACAACCAAAATCGCGTTTAATTTACTACCAAATTCCAGAAAAAAAACTACTGCGATAATCAATAAAGAATGGATATTGGAGAGCTTTTATCCTTCAAAGTAAGTAAAGAAGAAATGACAAGCAAAACATGCGGACAATGTATCAAAACTCGTCCCTAGTGTTGTGCCCATCTTGGAATATTGTAGAAACCTTTTTTCCTAATTAAAACTTTTCCAGCCGGAAGCCACTCCGAAACGGTCTCACGAAGACGATGAGGACTACTCGCCGGAGAAACCGCCCAGCAGGCAAGAGGAAAAGAACAGCAAACGTTTGAAACGTATTGCCCAAGCCAAGGAGGCAGCCGATTTTGCCAAACCTGAGGAACCCATACCCCAGTTGAGTGGGGTGGCGGCAGCTCTACTAGATCCCGAGCTAACAAATGAGGAACGTATGAATATTCTGAAATACGTTGAAAGTGAAGAAGCTGAAGGTGATGTCTTGGACGAACAAGGTTTGAAAAAGTTGCTATTGGTGTTCGAAAAGAAAAACTTAAAAAATCAGGAGCTGCGTATAAAGTATTCCGATAATCCCATTAAATTCATGGACTCGGAAGTGGAACTACATTCGGTAATACAAGAGTTAAAGGCTGTTGCCACTGTACCAGATTTATATCCCGTTTTGGTAGAGCTCAATGGTATACCAAGTCTGTTGGAATTGTTAAATCATCCAAATACTGATATTGCCGTGGCAATTGTTGATCTTTTGCAGGAGGTTACAGATGTTGATATTTTGGGTAGGGAATAACTTAAATAAAACTTTTTTGAAGGAGGTTTTAAATATTTTGTGGTACTTCCAGGTGAAAGTAGTGATGGCGCCGAAGTCTTAATTGAGGCCCTACGCAAACAACAGGTCATTGCCCTTTTGGTGCAGAATTTAGAACGTCTTAATGAACAAATAAAAGAGGAGGCCGATGGTGTGCACAACACCTTGTCGATTGTGGAAAATCTTACAGAAATGAATAACGATATTGTGGCAGAGGCGGCACAACAGGGCCTTTTAGCCTGGATCCTTAAAAGACTTAAACAAAAACCACCCTACGATGCCAATAAACTATACTGCAGTGAAATCCTTTCCATACTAATACAGACCAATTATGACAACAAATTGATGTTGGGTGAGCTGGATGGCATTGATATCCTGCTCCAGCAATTGGCCTTCTATAAGAAACATGACCCCTCTTCGACAGAGGAACAAGAATATATGGAAAATCTATTCAATTGCATGTGTTCGGCACTAATGGCCAAAGAGAATCGTGAGAAGTTCCTCAAAGGAGAAGGTTTACAGCTGATGAACCTTATGTTGAGGGAAAAGAAAATGTCACGAAATGGTTCCTTAAAGGTGCTCGATCATGCCATGTCGGGTCCGGATGGTCGTGATAATTGTAATAAATTTGTAGATATCTTAGGACTGCGTACCATATTCCCACTCTTTATGAAAACGCCAAAGAAAAGTAAACGCCTATTGTCCGCCGATGCTCATGAGGAACATGTCTGCGCCGTCATTGCGTCGATGTTGAGAAATTGTAAGGGTGCCCAAAGACAGCGGCTGCTTTCGAAATTTACCGAAAACGATCATGAAAAGGTTGATCGTTTGTTGGAGTTGCATTTGAAGTATTTGGAGAAGGTTGAGGCAGTGGATAGGGAAATTGACCAGCAACCGAGGGTATGTTTAATAATTAAGTTTTAATTCATAATTTTTTTTTATCCTTTTACGAATAATTTTTTATAAAAATTTTTAAGGTCTCAAAGAATTGAATTCTTTATTTTCCACCATTAAAATATGCTCTCCCGTTTATAGGATGACGACATGGATGAAACAGAGGAGGCGGAAAATAATTACCTAAAACGTTTAACCGGCGGTTTGTTTACCCTACAGATGATTGATTATATTATCTTGGAAATCAGCGCCACCTCAGAGTCCATCAAATCCCGGGTATTACAAATATTGAATTTGCGTGGTGCTTCCATGAAAACGATACGCAGTGTTATGAGAGGTATTGTTTCCTATTTGATATATGTAATGACTTTTTGTTAATTTGTTGTATTTTATTTACAGAATATGCCGGTAACTTGGGTGAAGATGGCGATGCCGATTGGAAGGAGCAAGAAGAGACACATATATTATCCTTAGTTGATCGTTTCTAAACTAGTTTTATTAATAAAAACATATTGTTTTTTTTTTACTAATAAGGAGCTATAGTATAAGAAACTCAAATTGATATGTGGGAGAGAGAGTAAAATAGAAAAGTAGTAATAAGAACAAAGAGGAAAGAGGGAGGATATATTAGGACTAGAAAAGAGGGAGGATATATTAGGACTACAGTCGAATCTTCAATCCTCAGCCGAAATGAAAGAATTGGATGTCATGTAAAAAAGAGGGAGGATATATTTAGACCACAGTAGAATCTTCAATCCTTTGCCGAATAAATGGAAGAAAACAGAGGAATTAGAAGTCATGTAAAAAAGAGGGAGAATATATCGGGACCAATGCAAAATCTTCAATCCTTGGTCGAATAAAGGATAAATGCGTCACTTTTCCATTATCTGGAATGTGTATTCACAAATTCATTTCGATCGATTTAGAATGCCAGAACTTGCCCCAAGACTTTGTTAGGAAGAGCAAAAAATATTCGTTATTTGAAAGGCATTGGCCACATGGCTTTAACTGCGAAATATACACATATATTGAGCCTCTTGAATTTCCTAATGTCCTTATAAGCAGGGATCCATCAAAGCTAAATGATAAGGAACATTGAGCTCTGATAGATTCCCATCGACAGTAGTTTACTGCTCACCGAAAATGCCGCTAAGGAAAGAGAGCTACCACAGCAAACCAGAGTAGTTTTGAACAACTGATATCTGAATAGGCTCGAACTGACAGCAGTGCCTTCTTCTAAAGTGCCTAGCTGCCATATCGCTAAGGACCCAATCGATACAAGTCCCATCCTTTTTGAACTAGAAGTTAGAAGCAGACCCAGTTTAGAGATGATATCAGAAAGCCGATCTGCCTTTTTATTCTTTGTCTCCCTGGATTTAGTTTTTTTTTTGGTGTCGAGAGAATTCAAAACACTCCTTTTTTAATAGAAACGCCTCTTTGTTCTCCTTCTACTTCAACTGCCTTGAAAGCATGGACTAGTCGGTGTTTACCGACTAATTGATATTGGGAACGGTGGAGCTACTCAGGTCGACTTCCTTGGGAGTCAACTAGAGGTCGAGGTCTGTTCTAGTATTTATGTCCTCCTCTTCTTCGGCAGAAAGGAGGAGAATACTGCCTTGACTCAGCCTTAACGGTCCCATATCCTCAATAATCTGGCGAATTGCTTGCATCTTTCTTATCACGCTGTCGTTAACTGGGTCAAGAGTCAGAGCATTGCCTTCGTTCCGTTTCGTGCTCCTAGTGGTAGCAGACAATCCTGAATCACTGTCCGTGACTGAACTTCAAGTCATTTTTGTTGAGGTGAAGGTAAACTTCGTACTTGTTGTTGTAGTAGTAGCAGTAGTACATGCAGATGTTTTGGATTCTGCTAATCTGGTTCAAGCTACAGGTTTAAAATTTTGGCTATCTTAACGGGATCTTCTGAAGTGAGTTGATTAGGTTTGGCGATACAATTAAAGAGGTGCAGCGTATTGTTAGGGTCTGTATCACACGACGGACAGACGTCACGCACATCTTC